GTGTCCTATTTGAATCTGCTTACACAAAAATTCAATAACAGATAGTGTCTAAGTAAGGCTAAAAGTCATTTAACGTCACTAATAATTTTAAGTATCTAAACGTTATTAATCTTGAAGTATGAAGACTCAAGCTGCTCAGATCAAAGTGGAATCAGTAGTGGAAAGCAACTAATCGCTTCTAAGTAACTCAAAGTAGTTGGCTTCATTTCTTAATAAAACTGCAAAGCTGCTGAGGAACTGCTCATAAATGAATTGGCAGATTTGCAGATTTCCAACAAACGATTAAACCAATTGCATAGACCACATCTCACACGACACCGAACATGATGAACAGGCAATAATTGTAGAAATTTTACAAATTGCAGCAACAGAAATTTAGATTCTTACCTGCTGCAGACTGCAGACCATCACTCACCTGTAGTGAGTATCCATAAGCTGCTTCATCGCGAAAAGCGGAGATTTGTTTGGCTTTACAACCCACGGATGCACTTGAAGTCATGTAAAATCCGCGAAACTGTGTAAACGTGATCAATCTTATTTTCATTATCAATCGCGATTTTATTAGTCATTATTCAGTTTCCGGTATGCAGTTTCTGTCGTAGATATATATTTAATTTTTAGTTTCTGTTATGCCCACGAGTGCTTTAAAAACTATTATTTAAAATAAAAACAATTAATCTAAATTTAAAAAATACATAAAAAGCAGCCTCCGTGGCATCTTCACATTGCCACTTTAGAGCAATGATTTAAGCCTGATTTATAGAACGTGACCCATATACTGACTTTGTTAACAGTATTCCAGATAAACCTAATAATATCGACAGGATATTATATATGATAATATTAGGGTCATATACAGAAATAAATTGGGTGAAAAGGAGTTTGTTGTTTTAGTAATCAATTAAATTAAATTAATTGAATTTAAAAATTAAAATATTAAATTCAAAAAAATTTTGAGGGTGAAGGATGTTAGCGAGAGAGAACCCCTTTTATGTATATGATTATCTACGGAACTATAAAAATTGATTTGGAAAGCAAATTCGATATTTTAGTTTCTTTTTTAAATTTTTTTTTTTTTTTTGAAATAAAAGATCATTTTCATATTAGTGAAAAAGTACTATATTCAATTATGTGTTATCCATTCTAATGCAATATCTTTTGTCATTTTTCTAAAAGTCACATGATTTTATAATTTTACTTTTTTACTATCAAAAAAAACAGATTAAGACGATTTTTTTGTCATCCGCTTTTGAAGCAAAAGCGTTAGATTAGATTAGATAATACCGGTGATCCCAAGAGATCTATACCGTATAATTAAGTCACGCAAGGATTTAAACCACTTAGAACATTCGGCACAGCTTATAATGCTATCTGGAGGGAGGTCTTGCAGTTCGCCAGAATTCTTAGTAAATAATATTGGGTGTGGCAGATAGTATCAGTATCGGTTTTCGAAGTGCTTTGAGTCGATTAACCAATTTCACTCTATGAAACCTTCAATATCGTTCTTCCGTTTCTCGCCCTCAATGACAATTCTTTTCAAAAAGAGATCATTTTCTTGAAGTTCAAGAAGTAAATCACAAACTTTATGCCACGGCACTATTTTTTTTTAGATTCCTGATAAATAGTTTAAAATGTTTGAACCTAAATTTTATTTTTCTCATTTATAAAATACAAAAGACTATAATGGTTTTAATGGCGCTTGAAATTGAGAGTTAGGTATTCCTTGACTCGACTATGTGCATTTTAATTCAGCATAATTTTTTTAAAGACTACTTATAATGGGTATTTGACAATACTTAAAACAACTGTATGGGTAACTAAAAATTATATTAATTAAAATAATTAAATAAAATAATAATTTGCTGTTGTAAATCATTACTATTCCAAACCTCTCTAACTAATACAATAGTTTCTATTAAGTAAAATAGTCACTGTCGTCATAAATGAGGCTAAAATCAAATTTTATACATAATTTCTTAGCAGTAATATATTCATGCATGCCGTCTACATGTTAGATTAAAATTTAGTTTATTTAGCAGTATCTTTCTAACTCTGGTTAAATTAAATAGTTTCTATTAATAGTTTCTATTAAGTAAAATAGTCACTGTCGTCATAAATGAGGCTAAAATCAAATTTTATACATAATTTCTTAGCAGTAATATATTCATGCATGCCGTCTACATGTTAGATTAAAATTTAGTTTATTTAGCAGTTTCTTTCTAACTCTGGGTAAATTAAAGAACAATCGCAAATCTGATGTCGTCAACGCCCTCGGTTTGTGTGAAAAAATGGATTGTGTCCTAAACCTTACCTAGTTTGGCAAGCTATCATTGTAGACTGGTATATATTGGTAAACATGAAAAAAATCAGGTTTTCTCTTTATAAACCTATATCTCAAATTTTAGAAAAATCAAGAAGATACTTTCCATTTACTCTGTGAAGTAGTCATGCCAGCCATTTGTAAATTGAGTTATGAATGAATTACTTATACTGCCTCTGAACAAGTAATAATATTTTGTTAAAGTTTTGAAACCACTTCTCAAACCCTCAAGAGATTACCAAAACTATCGAAATGAACTAATAAGCTAAAGTTGATTGCAATTTCTTAATATAGTTAACCTAATCTAAGCTTAATATTCAAACGAATAGGAGCGGATTTTCTGATATCTTCAATTAGATATATGTATCAGATATATTTATCCACATTGAAAACTGAATAATATATAAAATCATAAAACAGAAAATATTCTACGATTATTTTTAATAATGTGATTTTAGACTTCACCGAAGTTTTTTTATAAAATAGAAGGTTCCAAAAAATTCGTTAATAATTCGGCCTGATGAAAACAGAAAAATTTCTTAGAAATCTTATCTCTTATATAGTTTTTTGAACTAAATTAGAACATTTATCAATTTATCAATCTTTGTTTTCTAATTATATATACATATTTAAATTTACCACTTAGACCTGTAGAAATTTTTCAATTTAATGCGATGACTTACCCATCAATTTTATTCAAACGACTTAATCATTTAGTTTATGCTCTCACATCATCGATAAGTGATACCATCTGTCCACTTGTTCGAAGTTCTTTCAGTTAAGCTGACAGATAAAGATCTTTAATTTGAGTTAAGATTTATAGGACAGAATAAAGACATAAAAACTTGATTCATTAAGAAAAAATGAATAATTAAATATTTTTTAAGCATGTAAACTTTAATCAATCAATCAAATGATATTCGAAGTATCCAAACAAGTATTTATTTAGGTAAACTAGCAAAAATAATATTAATAAGAAACAAAGTGAGAGAACTTATAATGTTTTAATTAATTTATATACATATATATTTATATGTAAAGTAAATTTGTAAGTTTAATTCATCAGTAAATACACAAGTATCTGTACAGTGAATTGATTTTTGAACATTAAGTTTATGTGACTGCTTTGGATAATTTTTTATTAATGTGGCATATAATTTTGATATATAATATAACTTGAAAGAGTTATTATTTGATATCAGTAAAAATTTATAAATAAATACAGAAACTTCCCCAAAAGCATATACATATATTTCCTAAAAGCATATACATACCTATATAAACTTCCATAAGTCGAGCTTCTATAACTCGAATTTCGAAATAAAAAGAGTGCAACAGGGTTTTAGAGAGCAAATTACATACAAATCTGCTTCCATAACTCGAAATCCTATAACTCGGATAAAAATATTATCAAGTGCCAATAGGAATATGGGAAAGTGCATTCTATAAGTCGAATTTTTGTTTTAAGAAGGAATCTATTTTGGTATTAGGGGAGGGACTTCCCAAACCAAAAGTTTAATTTTTTCTTTCTTATGTTCCTTCTTTCCAGTCTCTGGCAGGATGGTTTAAAGTAAATAAAATAACTTCCAATGTTACTCGTAACGATTATATTGAGCTTGACTATGAAATTTGTACATCAAACTCTGAATTAGCGGATCCGATTCTATGCGCTATGGAAAGTAATAATGAGGGTTCGGTGGATGACTGCTTTAGGCTAAAGCAAAATATAAATTAGTTAATAAAAGGAACTGATTTTGCATCCACAAAATAGCACATAACCTATAAAGCTAGTTCCCAATAACCTCTCCGTTAAATAGAGTTAAATACTACTTCTCAGAGCACAGATCATGTTATATAGTCTTCAAATAATGTTTATATTTTGTATGTATAAAATAAATAAAAGACACGAATATAAAGCTAAAGAAAAAATAATTAACTTTATGTTCAGATCATTGAATGAATGTTTTCTTCGTTTAATCTGGATTATAAAGATTTCAATGAAAATAAGTAGAAAATAAGTGTCCGGATTTCCGCAATGTTCGACTTCTTGATTGTCCGTATTTTCATAAACATACTGTATATAATTTGTGATAAATGTAATTGGGTAATTGTTTAAATATTACAGAAATATCAATAGAGAAAAAAATTTACATAAATAATTTAAATTTTTGTTGTTGTAGTTTACTACTTTTTGAAAAATCTCTTAATAAATAATTTAGATAAATGCTGTGATATGACTATTCTTTAACTTTCATAGACATATGTATGTATTAAATATATTTTAAAGTAAATTAGGTGGTTTTGTACGAAAAATATGGTTTTAAAATTGAAAAAATCAAAAAATATGCTCCAATCTATAAATTTGTAAAAATATTTTAAAATTTTTTTATTTGTAAATATTCATAAATATTATATCCAAATTTTATCATTTTCTATAATAAATATACTTGTATAATTTATAAACATTAAATTAATTTATAATAAATCATAAAATTATAAATAATATTACTTTTAACAAAACTGCCACAGTTTAATATCTATAGGTACATTTTATAAAGCACGCACATTTTGATCATCACTGTTTGTCAGCTAAATGTGTATAACACTTATGTAGCTTGTATAACACTTACTTAAACGTCATAACAAATGCGTACATATCAAATTAAAACAGCTGTTCACCATCTGCTGTCTTGTGTAACCAAACAAACAAAACACACAAATGCGTGAATTTTGGTAACAAATAATTAATAATATATTTGTATTAAATTTATAAAAAAATATGTTTCAACCAACAAGACAAGAAACTTTACGTCTTTACAAACATTTAATACGTTACGGCAGTCAATTGCAACTCACAGATAAATCATATTTTCTTGGACGTATACGCCGGGAATTCAGAGAAAATCGAGAAATACAAGAACCAAAACAAATTGAATTTTGCTTTCGGGTAATATTAAACTGATTTATACTAGTAAAGCATATTAACTTTATTTAATATAGCGCGGCGAGGCACTACTTACAAAAGGCCGAGTTCTCTAACTTTATTTGGAGCCAAAATGCTGCTAAAGTTTACCCGCTTTCTGATAGCAAATAACGTAAAACCTACTTACATCAGTAGTTTTACTCCATTTACTCGTTTAAAATCGACAGATGCTCTGGACTATTCACGCTATCCCAAGCTAATTGAAAGTGAACTAGAAGAAACTTTTACACGCGGTAGCGGTCCCGGTGGCCAAGCCGTGAATAAAACTTCAAATTGTGTATTATTACGCCATATACCCACAAACATTTTAGTCAAGTGCCACACACATCGCATAGCATATAGAAATCGTGCAGAAGCGCGCAAAATATTATTAGAAAAACTTGATAATCATTTCAATGGAGAGCACTCGATTGCCGCTCAAATCAAACTACTAGAGTCCAAAAAATCAGCCGATAAAAAGCGACGTCAAGTGAAAGTAGCCGAAATGAAAAAAAATTGGAAGGAACGGGAAGCAGCTGTTAAGGAAGAAAATGATACATAAGCCTTTTATAAATAAGAGTTATTTTTTAAATAAATAAAACATTTATTTTTCCATAAAAAATTAGAGATTTACATATTTTATTACCAACTCGAGAAATCTCCAAACCCACTACTTACCGCCTTGCTTTTAACTCGTTTATTTGCAGACGGTGATGACTTATCACTATCGTCTGTTACAGCTTTTTTCATTGCCTGCAAGTTAATATATTTGCCAACACCTTCCTTGTAAACCTTCAGAGGTTGCTTCAAACGTTTCTTGGTTTTTTCATTCTGCACATCTTGTGCTTGTTTTTCTACTTCTTCCGCACGTTCCTTTGCTAATTCATCGATTGCTTCTTGAAATGGATCGACAAATACTTGCGCAGATTCAATTATTATATCTTCAATGGGACAATCTTTGTTATCAACCTCAATTTTTTCTATTTGATTTAATGTATCACCACCGCCTACTAGTTTACCAAAAATAGTGTGTTTACCATCCAAATGTTTGCAGGAGCGGTAAGTGATGAAGCTGTTGAAAACAAATATAGATCTTAGTATATTATACGATAATCACATAATGTGTATGTTACTTACAATTGCGAGCCATTCGAATTGGGACCAGAGTTAGCCATTGATAATATACCACGCCCTGAATGTGAAAGATTTGGTTTGAATTCATCTTCAAACTTTTTGCTCCAAATTGATGTGCCACCAGTGCCCGTACCTGTTGGATCACCACCTTGTATCTAAAACAACACAAATTTTATAAAACTATTTTCATAATTAAACATATATGAATTACCATAAAATTTCTAATGGAACGATGAAACTTAGTGTCTTTGTAGTAACCATTGCTGCAGTGTCTAATGAAGTTTTCACAAGCACGCGGTACCGCATCGCAATATATTTCAAAATTGAGTGGTCCAAAATTTGTGTTCAATCTAACGTATCCCTTTTTTTTAACACGTTCATATTTCACCAAATCTTCATCGATTATAGCTGCTTCATGCTGAGACACTGGCACCATAGCTGTAGATGTAAAACTGGCCGCTACCGTACCAGTTGAATAATGTGCAGCATTAAATTTATCCGCTAAGCGTTTAGTAGATGTTGGTTGCTCTTCCGCAGGTTGATAATCCTTTTCTAATTGCTCCAATGTTTCTTTTGTTTCTAAATTCATATTCTTTATGCGTCCTGTAGGATCCTTACGCTCTAGTTCTTCTTCCTCTGTGAGTACACGTAAATTTTTACGTATATGATGAAAACGTGATATGTCGAACTTTTCTAAACGCAATGGATCCTGTATAGTTATTATGTCTTTGCGCAAAAATGGTGAATCATCAATAAGATCCTTCCAATTTTTGGTTTTTACGTTAAGTTGCTCAATTGCTTCCCATGAATACACATTACCAGTTGTTCGTAAAGCAACAATGTGTGAGTTTTTAGTGAATGGCTTAAACAATGCCGGACAATGATATTCATCTTCAGCATTTTTATAGAAATTTAGTTTAAATAGCGCCTTAGCATCTTGTGTTTTTCCTGTGATTGGATTAACTTTAAAAGCTTTTAGAAATGCTAGTATGGCTTCAAGTTCAAATATGTTGCCATCTGCATCACAGTAGGGCATATCAAAAGGTATCATTGTAATGCAACAATGATCATAGGGTAATCGTTTGAATTTAATGTGTTCATTTTCCGCCGATTCAGTTTTTTTGCCACCATACAGTTCCGACCATTCCGTATAGGTGAGGTACCTAACAATTTTCGAGTTTATTAATTGAATCAAATTAATTCGTTTTATATACTTACATTTTATCCTTTTGATGCTGCCGTTTACCCATCTTGCTGCAATATTAGATTAGTTTTATTATAAAAAATTAAATTATTTATGTTTTAGTTTGTAAACAATATTTTATCAGCTGCCGCTTGAGCAATTTCGTTATTTTTGACATAAAGTAGTGCTGCCAAAATGTATTACAGTTTCGATACGAACACAACTTTAATGCAGTGAACTTAAAACTGTTAATTTTTATATGTCAGAAGATATATGTAAAATACAAATAATTTAAGAAAATAATTATATTTTAATGGATATTAATAATTACTGTACACTGAAAATAATTTGATCTAATTAATTTTCTAAGTAATTTAAATTACTTTTATTTAAAATGTTATTAACAAATTGTAATCCCACCTTACTCTCTCCGTTTGTGATTTTATTTAATGCTAATCTTTACATTATTTAATGATTAATTGATTGGTTATAGCTGCTAATCAGCAGATATTTTTCCACTTCAAATAACTAACGATTATTATTCAGTTTTATACCACGTTACTTACAAGTAATACCAATATATTAACTATAGCTCTTTATTTTGATCTTAAGTAATTCAATAGATCTTTTATCCGTACCGATGAGTAATCTGTGTGTGAACAACTGTCTAACAATTATTCTTAAAAACATTTTGTTTCTGTTAACTCAATCTGACCAGTCACAGATTCTACATTTTTTATAATAAATTTTGGAAGAGTTGCTCAGTCTCTCTATACAAGTTCCTACACATCAGACGCATTAAGAAATTTATTTTAATGACAAGCAAATCAGACAAATTGCGGATGCTAAGATAAGAATATTTTGACTAATCAAACATTGCAGTTTTTAAAGTTCTTCATGGATTCAGAGCATTTCTCTAAATCAATTATTTTTAATAAGTTGCAATATTAATCCTATTTCATATGGCCATATTTCATGATCATCTAAGTGCTTCTATCGTTTATGCAACCTGACTGACCATGATCTCAGTGTCACTTTTTTCCTACAAAACCCTAAAACTTTATTAAAATAAATATCCAGTTCTGTTAATTATTTATTTCCAGAAGGAAAGTAAATTTATTTCTCATAATTGCATTCCAAATGTACTGTGAAAATATTTTAAATAGATTAATTTCAGTATAACATCAGAAAATATATCTAAATAATATATCTTTCTTAGCATAGGTATTACGATTCAGTACACATAGCTTATTTAATAGAGCTGCTAAGACATGTTGTTTCTTAGTCTTAGGACCGTAATTATCCTTGCTAATTTACTGGTTTGCAAACTTTCCAGTTTCTCTATTCTATTACAATTAGTTAGGCTTGGTGTATTTATTAAAACCCTATATTTCATTTGCAGTAATATTCCACCTTACTAATAAATCGATAAAATAATTGTATTCACTAAATGTTTACCGATATTCTGTGAATATATAAGTTGTACTACAATTTTCAAAAAATTAATTTGAATCCTGTAAAATAGTGCTGAAATTTAAAACGTAACACCGGATTTCTACTTACTAACATCTTGTCTTAAAACCTTAGCTTATTTACTAAGCATACCTCATAAAATGTTTAGAGAAACTAATATAAAGGATTTACAAGAGGACAGTTTTACATTTTTACATGTCTCAACTAAAATCTATATAACATTTATTATATTATGAACTTCCTTTGGTTTTTAAATATGTGGATTAAAAACATAAATAATGTTGATTCTTCAACGTAAAAAGATCAGTGCAGATGTCCGATTAAAACTAAGGAACAGAGTATTCACTTGATCGTCACAAGTACTTGCATATGCAGACGATATTGCTATTAAAGTCCATACTCCTGTGGTCGTAAGCGTGAAGAATATACACAACTTAATGTTAATGAAATCAGGGTATCACTTGTTATGAAAAAGTGTGACCAAACCCGAATTAAAATAAGAGACAACAAATATCAGATATAGTTTAGTACTTTACATAACGTGCTGTAGCTTAAAGAAATACTTGAAGAGCAAGCTGCTATCCAGACAATAAAATAGCGTTCTATACAAAACCCTTGTACAACCACATTCTTCTTAAAGTAATTTGATAACGGTAAATATCGTATTTAATACAATGACAAAGTTTATCGTTTATAGTGCGAAGCAGATATTAAAATATCTCTATCAAAATACTAGATATACTAGGTTGGACATACTACATACTTGGAGAAGTTCAGCAGAATATACTTAACACAATATGACTTTTAATGGAGAATAGCAAGTTGAGAATGACTGAAAAAAATATAAATGGACAATATGACAGAAGATGGATGAAAAGTTATCAACAATTCTTTAGCAGCAGCAACGAACGACAGTGTATATAGGAGACTGGAGATTCCTTGAGACAGTTAAATATGATTCAGACTGTTATAATCACTGATAACAATAATCTTACACCTATAACTGAATTCGGCATACTCTTCAGAATAGTGTCAAGCAAAATTAACATATGTATAAAAAATAGTGATTAAAATTTGCTGGAACAAGATCGGTAAAAGGGATTTACGTCCCTTTTGGTTGTCAGAGATATATTTCATATTGCATTAGTTGCAATTTAATAAGTATAAGTAATAAATTTTGACTACAAAAAATTATTGGTTTTAAATTTCGATACATATTCTTCCCTAAACTCAATCAATTTAGCTTAAATAAATGCAACAAAAAAACCAAATCCAATTAAATGTCCGAACCGGAATTTGCTTTACTTTCCGCTGAAATGCTATTAATTCTGAATTAGTTAAAATTATGGAAATTCAGCTATTCACATTCTTTTGTATCAATTAGAACGAGTTACGCCAATCCGGTTGATATAGTGTCTGGAAACGGTATTTTACAATGCCAGTATGGAAATAATGCTTATCATCATCTCCATCATAATCCCCTGAAAAGTAGGTTTCGTGCTGTCAAATTGCAGGCTCATAAATTGCAATCAGTCGACAACAAATTCAGAAGACGACGACACCCAACTGTGCAATGCGACCACACTTGTCACATGCATTTCCAGCAGCAAATGCAACGCAACCGAATCGAGATGCACGCAGTTCTATGCACGTATCGCAAGTGCGGCCAGAATTGCATTCCTGCCTCAAAATACCAAAAAACAGGAAGATTTTATGAGTGCGACATGCAGATTTGCCAATATTGATGCGTTGCTACAATATGTCTTCGAGGTGTTTCGACAACATTTCGCTAATACAAGACAGAAGATGCTGCAAGTGAGTGCAATGTCAGCTTCGCGCCAAAATTACTGGCATGCATGCAACAAAATCATTAACACAAAAAATTATGTATTACAGACCCACGAATAAAAAACAGAAACGAAAGGTTGAATAGACCTTCAAAAGTAGGCAGAGTGAATAATTGCATACTAAACTTAAACAAACTAACGTTAAAACGTAAACTTTGTTCAATTGAATTTATTTTATTGTTAATTCTAACAACAAAGCAACACTTGGCATTACTTAGAGGTGCAATAGACATGCCTGCAGTTCAACAAAACACTGCATGCAAGAGCAACGTCAGTCATCAGAACCAAACCACACCAATGACAACAATCAGAACGACTGGTTGAACAGCACTCCTGCCTTATAAGAAGTTAAAGTTCCCAATGGACAAGAGCACGACTGCCTTAGGTGCACAACTGCGTCTTGCTGAGTGCAGCATGCAGCAAAGTTGCATGCTGCATGCGTCAAAAGTTTGACTTAAAATATTCAGCAAGAAACGTTATGAGTTATGATTGTGTCGCATGTAAAACTAAACAATTTTTTATACAAAAGATATGACTTTGTACCACAGGCGAGAAGCACTCAGATGAAATATGAAAGTACCAATAATGCATCCAAAATCATTGCATAGTTCATTGCTGCACCGCTGACTACTTGAAGAATAAAATAATGCCGCGATGTCGTTTTAGTTTGAATACTGATTTACTATTGTCGTTTCTGTGTTAATGACTTCAAAATGAGTTCTTATTAAGCATAAAATTCAGTATATTATAGAAGTAAAGAATCACACTCTCAGAAATTATAAAACATAAACTGTATACTTATGTGAGAATACACATACCAATACAAATACGAGTAAGAAAATACAAACACACTTACTCACATATGTATAAAGTATGTACAAGGTGCTTTCAAATGTCTTCCAAATCTTCTCAAAATAGATATTTGCAGTAAGGCGAACTAAAGACAATCACTTGCACCGATAAAGTACGCCCGAACAGGCCGTAGTGACATTCAAAAGATGATTTTGGAGATATCAACTTCGAAACAGTTTCGAAAATTAGTTCAATCGAATGCAAAAATATATTGACCATCATGGAGAGCACTTCGAAGAACAACATAACCATTTTCACTAATTAACCCCTGTGGTTTTGTTAGGCGCCAGACTTAAAAGGCAGCTCTAGTAGTAGCTTCACTGATATATTGTGAAAATTGTGCAGTATCTAGACAAAAAAAGGGCGGTGGGTTTTATATAGAATACTCTGAGTCTATAAAAGTGGAGTTACTGCATTTGAAATGACAGTCTTCAAGCTACTGCAGTTGCACAAACGTGGATAAATACCGAATATTGTGTTCATAGATAATAAAAATGTTTACAAATGATGAATTTATAAACAAACAAAATGATCAAATATACTTAACCGCATAACAATTTTTGGTGATTTTAGCGGTCAAGGTTATTATAAATGTTCACCACCGTTAAATATTTGAAAGCTTCTCTGAAACAATGGTCAATCAAATATCTCGGAAAGAAGGAGAAGAGGCATTATAATAAAATTCTGTACCATCACACAAAACGATCTAGACTTAATTTTGACTGTATGCTGGGATCCACTGCCATTAGATGAAAATCCGTTCATGCTTTTGGTATGCGATATATATCAGTCCTTAGGAAAATCACAAATAAGCAGTTAATTACAATAAAGGAGAACTATACTATTACTTGAAGGTGACAACTACTTCATATATACTTTCAATATATTTCTAAACTGAAAAAAATATGAAAATTAAAACTTAATAAGATAATTTCTCCGAAACGATTAACGGATTTAAAATATCAGATCTTTTTGCTAGCATATTTG